TTCAGGTGTGGAGGGCCAATTATATACAGTCAGAAAAGAAACAAAATGGGATCCCCTAGAGTTCACTAAACAGCACCAAGAGAAAGTATTCAAATTCTTGGATTTAGAGAAATGCCATTTTGGCAACTTGGGAGGTAGGGTTCAAGGCTAGCCAATGCAGAAAGTTACTAAGATCCTGTTGGAGTAACCCAGTGTTGGTGGTCCATGCTGGTAATCGCAGCTCCATAGGAGGCATGGGTGGGAAGACTGCAGTCTGAGGCTTCCTGGGAACAAACTGAAACCTTTAAATAAAAGTTTAAAAGGACTAGGACCAGAGGTGGAGTTGCAGCTGAAGTGATAGAGCACTAGCAATGGGGGGAGGGAGGAGAAGGAGGGGGAGCTCAGGGACGGCACCCAGACCAAGTTCAAGACTCAGGACCAGCACACACACAAAAGTAGCTCAAATGGTAGTGTGTCTGTCTAGCAAGTACAGGGTTCAAACCTCAGAAGAAAAAGGAAAAAAAGAGCTTAAAATAATAGCTGAATAAATGTCAGAAAGTCTGGAAATAGTTACAAAAAGGTCCGAAGTTACAAATCAGATTGGATCCAATAAAATTATTCCAAGACAATAAATTGTCAAAGAAAAAGAGGATTATGAACCAGAAGGAAGTATGTTACACACAACTCACTATCACACATTTCAGAGCAAAATCATAACTCAGAAGAGGATGAGACTAAGAAGAACAAGGTAGTTCCCTTGGCAAAGCTATCCTTCCGAAATGGAGAGATAAAGAAGACTAAACCCAAGCAAAAGCTGTGGGTGTTCATCATCACTAAACTTGCCTGCTAAGAAATGCTAAAGTAGGAAGTTCAACGAAAACAAAAGTATCAGCAACATGGAAACAAAAAGACTGGCAAAATTATGTAGTCAAAGCCATAATACTAGAATAATTGTGTATAAATTATGTCTTTAGTATGAGTGTTAAAGTGGAAAACTGTTAAAAACAATTACACTAATTTGTTAATGGATATACACTATAAAAAAGCTTTAGCCAGGTGCTGGTGGCTCATACTTGTAATCCTAGCTACCCAGGAGGCTGAGATCTGAGGATCACAGTTCAAAGCCAGCCCTGGCAAAAAAAAAGTCCATGAGACTCTCATCTCCAATATACTACTCAGAAAAAGCCAGAAGTGGTGCTGTGGCTCAGCTGGGTAGAGCACTAGCCCAGAACACAAAGAGGCTCAGGAACAGCGCCCAGGCCCTGAGTTCAAGCAAGCCTCAAAAAAAGCTTTAAATTATGATATGAAGAAAATGAGGGTAGAGTAAAAGTTTTTCATACAGTGAACTTGCTATCAGCTTAACATACCCTGTTACACCTGTAAAAATGCCTTCAGTAGGCCTTAAAACCACAAGGCAAAAATCAACAGTAGATGGACAAAAGGATCCACGCATACATACAGTTACTAAACATCATTTTATCATATAGCAAAATACAAAGGTCCTAAAAATGCAAGGTAGTTTATAAAGTGACTTACCTTGAGACATAAAAAGAACAGGGTCAGAAATGATGATCCAACACTCATGAGATGTAGACAAGAGAATTCAGTTCAAGGGCAGCGTGAGCTACATTCTGAGAAGTTAATTCATGCAGTATTTTTAGTTTGTCTGCATCTTAAATGCAACCCCACATGGGGTCAGGTATAGTATTTCTTATGGCATTAAACACTCCCAAGTTTCAGATTCTGAAGATTTCCACACTAAGGCTACACACATGTAATTACTTTAAAATATAAATGAACTAAGCCCTCCAATCAAAACATGGCAGAATGAATTCCAAAAGTGAGACCCAACTTCATGCTGCCCACAACAGGTTCACTTCACCTTCAGAGACAAGTATCTGAAAGCGAGCAGTGGGCTGGGGAAGACTGTCTCAGGGAGAAAGGGGGCTAGGAGGTGGGGAGATGGAAAGGCCTTCTATGCCAAATAGAAAACAAAAGAGCAGAAAAAAACTAAACATACTTAGGTAAAACAGACTAAGTTAAAAAACTACATAAACAAAAAAGTTCATTATAGGATAGAGGGGCCCATTCCTTAAAGGGATACAATTATATATGTGCCCACCACAACTAAACATGCATTGTAGGGCACTTCAGTCTCATACATGTAACAATGAATACATTAGACAAAATAATACAGGGCTTGAACTACATATTAGACCAAATGTACTTATACACATTGCATTCTTCTCAACTATACACAGAAACTCTCCAGGACAGTACTAGGAATATATACATTCTGTAAACTTATACCACACAATGAACGATCACCAAGTGAATAAACCTAATCCTTAAGGCACCACCCAGGTTGTCTCCTCACTTCTTTCTCACGAGGTAACCACCTGACTGCTAACATGTTGATCAGGGTCACCTACATAAGAACTTCAAATTATGAGTATTTCTCTTGCATCAAGATTTTTCTATTGAGGGGCTGGGAAGATGGCTCAGTGGTAGAGCGCTTGCCTTGCATGCATGAGGCCCTGGGTTCGATTCCTCAGCACCACATAAGCAAAAAGAAAAAAGCCAGAAGTGGCGCTGTGGCTCAAGTGGTAGAGCGCTAGCCTTGAGCTGAAGAGCTGAGGGACAGCGCCCAGCCCCAGAGTTCAGGCCCTACGACCGGACTCAAAAAAAAAAAAAAAAAAAAAATTCCTATTGAAAGCCCTAGGAGATTCTTCCATATGGTAGTTATGTATTTGCTTAATTGATTTTTATGTGGAATACATCAATCTGTTCACCCACTACCTGAGGGGTTTCCAGCAGATAATGCCACTGTAAAGTCTTGTATATAGTCCTTGGGGCAAACTTATGTGTGTACACCCAGGACTAGCCTTTCTGGTCTCAGGCTCTGGGAGGTGCACACCACTTCCACAGATGGTATTTTCTTGCATTTTGTAGTTCTGATGCTTCAGCATGGTGTATTATAACAGCGTGTGATGGAGGAAGTGTTCACCTCACACCCACTAGGATCCCAAAATCCCTTCTGCAGATATGTCCCTCAGTGACCTCACTTCATTCAACAAGGCCCACCTCCTCCAGGTCCACTGCCACCCTCTGATAGCACCACAGGCCAACAACCAAGCCTTCAACACATGGGCCTTCAGAGGGTACTCCATAGGCACTCTAGCATATTAAAACTAAAAAATTAGATAAATGGAACTCATTTAAACTTAAATGGTTATAACTAGCAGTATCATGGCTTATCCCTACATTCCAAGCTACATCAGAGGCTGAGTCAGGGTAATAATCAGTTTGAATTCAGCCTGGGTAGCTTACATAGACTATGTCTCAAAATACAACCAAAAAGGAATTGGGGATGTTAACTCAATGATAGCATGTGAGAAACCCTGGGTTCAATCCTCAGTACCACTATATTTATACATATAGAGAGGCGAATCGATATATTTTAATACACGTATTAATACATCTTAATAGCCTGCTATAACCAAGTCCAGAGACTGTTAAAAGCAAAAGAAATTCATCTGTCACAGCTACAGTGGCTAGAAGTCTGAGATCAAGATGTTGGGAGTCCTCTCCCCAGGACAGTTTTCCTTTTGGGAATGCTTATATCCAAATCTCAAGACATTGGTCATACGTACTGAATTAAGAGCTCACCAACATCTCATCTTACCTTTTAAAAACATCATATTTCCAAATATAGTCACATTCTGAGTTACTAAGGATTAGGACTTCAAAATAAGAATTTCCAGGGAAGATAAAAGTCTAGCCATCTGTTTTGTACTGCATGTGGCACCATGCTTGGCACATGGGTCCTTGATAAGAGTACCTCCTGTTAAGCAAAAAAAACAAAATAAAAAAGCAAAGTATCTAAAATTTAAGACTTAGTAGCCAGGCACTGGTGGCTCTTGCCTATAATCCTATGTGATCTGAGGATCACCGTGGTTCAAGGCCAGCCCAGGTAGGAAAGTCCATGAGACTATCTGATCTCCTATTATTAACCACCAGAAAATCAAAAGTGGTGCTGTGGCTCAAAATGGTAAGAGTGCTAGCCTTGAACAAAAAGACCTCAGGGATAGCGTCCAAGCCTTGAGTTGAAGCCCACAACCAAAAAAAAAAAACAAAAAAACAAAAAACATTGCATATTAACAAGGGGACCAGTTCTTTTGTATTTGGCTTTACAGTGCTGGGGACTGAACTTAGGACCTGGCACGTGATAGGCAAGCACCCTATCGCTGAACTACACTATATCCTCATCTCAGGATTAGTTCTATGATTTAGACATGCTGGATGTTGTATGACTAAAGGGCTTTTGACTCCTTGGGAAAGCTGATCATCTTTTATGAATCCTAACAGGTTCGGGATGAAAGAAGAATCTGTATTTTCTGCCCATTAATTTAAGAGGTGGAAAATTCCCTCAGTCCACACTCTCCATAATGGCAGGGAGAGATTTTTCTCTTGCTGATAGGCCTGGATTCCAGGGTCAGAACATCAGAATGGAAAAGGTCCAGAAGGGACTAGAACACATGTCATCCATCCATCCCAGTATATTCTAACTTTCAAAGATCTAAAGAGTTATCTTGTGGCCCGAGAATAATGGAGAATTTTTTGTATTAAATCTCCTTACCCAGCTAAAGCTAGATCTAGGAAAGGTAAAAAATTACTACTCTCTAAACGGAGGCACAGACACTGCCTGCGTACTACCACCTTATTCCACCACTAACAACAACAACACACATTTATACTATTTTTTTTGAAAAATCCTAGTACAGATTTATTTAACTTCACTTATTAAAGATTTTCGTGGTACTAATTGTCCTCATCCAATATTAAATTTACATGAAAAGAGACAACTACAGATTATTATATATAGGAATTCTCATGATTCACAGCATTTTAAAAAGAACTTCTTAATTTGTTTCATTAACGTAAATACTTTACCTAGTGGCAACTGGGTGCAATGAAGACATGAAAACTACTTTTGAAATCAGGCAGAAAGTACATTTCAATGATGTAAACTGTTTTAAGCATTTTATTAAAATGTTTCTCACAAACTATGAGAGACCTTATTTACCAGTAACAGAAAAATCCTATTTTCCATAATAAACACCAAGGAGAATTTGGTATAATGCATGGCCGCCCGTTATCAGAGCTCATGGAGAACATCCAGTCCAGGCGGTCCAGGCACCTACTAGTCACTGCTACTCCATCAATACTTCCTACGCTCACACACATTACAAACTTGGCGCATCAAGTCTCAATTGTCCCTTGCAACTACACAAACAGATGCAGTACGCAATACTGACTTTATCAAACAAGACTATGAAAGCAGTAGGGCAAAATGGCTAATTTGAAGAATCAGTAATTCGTTGTTTCAGATGGCTTCCAAAGTCAACACTATATGAAGGCTACTTTTCTTTACGAGAGAAATGTCCGAACAGTGCCCTTGATTATACCCCTGCAGATAGGGCATTTTCTTAAAGAAGGAGCACACTCCTGGCATACCACCAGATGGCCACAAGGGATGAATACAACAGAGACTTCTCTGTCCATACACACTTTACAAGTTCGTTCTTCTTGCAGTCTCCTCAGTTGCTCTTCCAGTGACAGACCTAATAAAAAAGAACCGTAGAATTCAGTAATTCAGAATCCAGAATTCAATTAATTTAAACAAATTCAATTTTTACTCATTGAAAACAACAACAAATATAGCTTTTAAGACTCAATTCTAGCTGGGGACAGATGGCTCATACTTGTAATCCTAGCTACTAAGGTGGCTGAGATCTGAGGATCAAGGTTCAAAGCCAGCCCAGGCAGGAAAAGTCCACGACACTCTAATCTCCAATTAACCACCAGAAAACGGAAGTGGCGCTGTGGCTCAGGTGGTAGAGCACTAGCCTTGAGCTGAAGAGCTGAAGGATAGTGCCCAGGCCTAGAGTTCAAGCCCTATGACTGACAAAAAAAAAAAAAAAAAAAAAGACTCAATTCTACTTTACCTGAAACATCTTCTGTGGGAATGTACTTCATATTCTTTTCCACTAAATGGAGAGAACACACAGAAAGCATCACTGTTTCACCTACTACCTACTGGATGGCGGGGACCCCACCCCATCTATGCATTACATTTAGGCTTAGACAGTTAAAGACGCCAGTATTTTAAAATAAGTATAATATATAGATTGTAGTTTGTTAACTGGATTTATTTTGCTAATAAGGAGATGACAAGGGCTGGGAAGGTGGCTCAGTGGTAGAGCGCTTGCCTTGCATGCATGAGGCCCTGGGTTCGATTCCTCAGCATCACATAAGCAAAAAGAAAAAAGCCGGAAGTGGCACTGGGGCTCAAGTGGTAGAGCACTAGCCTTGAGCTGAAGAGCTGAGGGACAGCGCCCAGGCCCAGAGTTCAGGCCCCATGACCGGACCAAAAAAAAAAAAAAAAAAAAAAAGATGAAGAGCTGAAGGACAGCGCCCAGGCCCAGAGTTCAGGCCCCATGACCGAACCCAAAAAAAAAAAAAAGAGATGACCATAATCTTTTTTTTTTTATTTTTGGTCCGGTCATGGGGCCTGAACTCTGGGCCTGGGCGCTGTCCCTCAGCTCTTCAGCTCAAGGCTAGCGCTCTACCACTTGAGCCACAGTGCCACTTCCAGTTTTTTTTTTTCTTTTTGCTTATGTGGTGCTGAGGAATCGAACCCAGGGCCTCATGCATGCAAGGCAAGCACTCTACCACTGAGCCACCTTCCCAGCCCCCAGATGACCATAATCTTAAGGATTTTAAAATAATTTTCTTAACTCACCAAATAAGTTCTCATATAATGCAGAGTCAATTTCTTGTAGACAGTTTTTGAAGATGTTGGCTGCAGCATTTCCTTTAACTAAAATGGTATCGATCAGTTCTCTTGCTTGTAAAGGTATCTGTGTTTTTTGTTTAATAATATCATGTTCCTGTTTATTAATTACTTTAGCCTTTAAAAGATTATCCAGGATAGGAAGGACACACGTCAATTGTTGAAACAGAGCCATTCTATTCTTCCGAATCAATGACAAGTCATCTTCATTTAAAGAAAAGAAAAAAGGCATTAAATTTTAAACACCTTCAACCACACACATAATGAACCAACTAACCCCATAAACAACTGAATCAGTAAATATAGTTTGGAAAAGAAAAGGTTATTGTCTGCACTTTAGTATCTGTCATTTGGGAAATTTCCTGATTAAACCAAGACACAATTTAGAATATACCCAGGGTCTCTGTTTGTATAATTTTTATATTTAACATACTAACACCTCTTATGACCCTGCTTCTCTTTTATTCTGTGGGAAATAAACAGAAAGCTTCAGAGGATAGTATTTTTCCCCTGTGCATTCCATCTGACTTCTGGTTGCATCATTTTACTTTGTGTAAGTACCTTCAGATAAACTGTCTCATTTGCAGATAGGGAACAACGAGAAGAGAATGAGCTGCAAAACCCCGTGTCACAGGCCTACGGTTCTCTCAATACCCACTCACATTTCTCATACTCCCATGCATGTCTACTGCAGCTTAGTAGCCAAGTACCTAGTGTCTTCTCATCCATCTCAGACTCCTACCCAGTAGTGATACCTTCCTCAAAAAACTGTTATCTAAGACACAAAGTACTTAACACAATGTCTGACACATTATCATTTTATAACTCTAGATTTGTGACAATTTTTTTTTTTGGGTCTGTCATGGGGCTTGAACTCTGGGCTTAGGCACTGTCCCTGTGCTCTTCAGCTCAAGGCGAGCACTCTACCGCTTGAGCCACAGCTCCACTTCCAGTTTTCTAGTGGTTTATTGAAGAGTCTCACAGACTTTTCTGCCCGGGCTGGCTTTGGATCGTGATCCTCAGATCTCAGCCTCCTAAATAGCTAGGATTACAGGCATGAGCCACCGGCGCCCAGTGGTGTGACAATTTTTTTAAACTATGTATAAATCAAGCTTGATCTTACTTAAAAAGCAAATTCTTGTAAGGTGCCAGTGGCTTAAGTCTAAAATTCTAGCTACCCAAGCGACTGGGATCTGATGATCATGGTACAAAGCCAGCCTGGCCAAACAAATCCCCAAGAGTCCTACCTCTAATTAACCAACAAAAAGCCTGAAGTGGATGTGTGGATTCAAGTGGCAGAGTTCCAGCTGTGAGCTTTTTAAAGCTTAGCAAAAGCTCAAGGCCCTGAGTTTAAGCCCCAGTATTGGAATCCCCACAAAAGCAAATGTTTTATATTAATTCACACAAAAAAACTCCAGTTAATTTACTATACTTATCAAGTCTATGAATTCCCAAGGTATTTTCCATGTAACTCCTTCAGATGCTTACTGCAGATTTTTCAAAAGAAAATCTATACTGCTGCAAGGCATAAATCTACTGAGCAATACATTAGAAAACAGAAGCCCAATTTCCTTCCCCCTCTACATCCTATGGAAGGGGACTTTTTTTTTTTTTTGGTCAGTCGTGGGGCTTGAACTCTGGGCGCTGAGCCTGCACTCTTCAGCTCAAGGCAAGCGCTCTACTGCTTCAGCCAGAGCCCTACTTCCGGTTTTCTGGTGGTTTATTGGAGATGAGAGTCTCACGGACTTTCCTGCCCAGGCTGGCTTTCAACTGCGATCCTCAGATCTCAGCCTCCTGAGTAGCTAGGATGACAGGCGTGAGCCACCGGCGCCCGGCTTGGAAGGGGACTTTCTGTCCACAGCACAGCTATCACATTCCCTTCTCTGATGACAAGCTATCATTCTCCTTCATATCCATCTGGATTGCTTGCAAATCTAAGTCTACTCTTTCCCTTTTCTGAGGTCCCCACATCACATCCAAGTCCACTACTATAAAAGTTAATCCAGGTCTAACAGCATTCTAATCCAGGCCTCAGCTGGAGGTGTCAATGGCATTCTTGTAACGTCCTGCATGACTCTTATTCCTTACACAGCCCTCCCCAACAACCCAAGTCTCTACAACATAGCAGAGTCACAAGCCTAAAGTGACTAGGTGACTGATTTCATGTAACTCAATCTGGGTGACTCTACTACGTAAGACCCTCAATCTTTTCACTCTTCTCAGACCTTTCTTTCACTGTCCCTCCGGCTTCCCTATCAATCTAATAGTCTGTAAGTGTAGTTCAGTGGAAGAGTGCATGCACATGTGAAGTCCTGTGATTAATCCACAACCCCCTTCCAAATAAATCTAATAGGAAAAAATGTTTTTGATAAGTGGTATGGCGCTGAGGGATATTCTGTTTACAAAATCTCAGCTTCACAGGACTGGGATTACCATCCCTGTTCCACAGGCTGGCAAGCTGAAACTAGGTGAATAAAGTGCAAACTTCATGGCTGATGCCAGCCAGAACTGAAACACAAATGCATCTCAATGTAAAAGTCAGTTTCTAAACATTTTGCTCCATGGGCACACAACATGGTGCATCAACTATTCCAATCTCTCCTTACAAGCTTAAACACAGTCTTCCCCACTAGTTCCATGTTCCTTGAGAGCAATCACCATAGTTGGCACATCCAAGGAGCTGCACTGAAGAAGAACAGAGGCCACCAACAGTCCAATACCTGATGCCATCTCTTCTGCTTGTCTTTCTTTCTCTTCTTCTCTTCTTTCATCTTCTGCATTAAGAAGTGCTGAAACAATATCATTAACTGTTTTGTAGTTCTCCCCTGTGGTGAGGATTCTACTCTGAACCGTCTGTCTCACCAGGCTTCGACTAAAGCCCATCTCTAGTGCAGCTTTAACCACCGGCGTGTTCATCATGACTGCATCTTCTGAAGAACTTTCTCCATGTCCAAAACGAACAACTATTTGAAAAGACATTTTGAGTATTAAGTTCCATAATCAGAACACTATGGGAAGAACAAGGACATGACTAGCCACTCCTCTCACACCCCGATCAAGGAGACGAGCTGTGCATCAGCTATCTACAACTCCAACACAAGCTGAACTGAGTAATGTTTCAATGGAGCATAGCTAATATGCAACATTTTAAAAAATGACTCCCAGATTATATCCCAGTTAATATTCTAGGAATACGTATCGCTTTAAAAATATCCTCAAATGATTCTGATAAACATTCCTTTTTAGAAATCAATACACTTCACAAATCTAGAAGTGAAAAATGACCTCCAGCCAGGAAAACAGGTGAAGTAAAAGGTTCATTATAGACAGGGGACTGACATGCATGAGGCCCTGGACTCCTTCCCCTAGCCTTACACACCTATGTCCTTGTGCTCAGATGAGCATACCTTCACCACAAAATAAAAAATGGGCTGAGACGAGGGCAAGACTCAGTGCTGAAATGCTTCTCTAGCTTTTCAACAACATGGATTTGATAGACAGCATTGCAAGAGGAGGGGGAGGGGCCAGGGAGACAGAAGCTGGGGGGCTCAATGGTAGAGAACAGGTGTTAGAGGTTCGAGGCCCTGGATTCTATCCCTAGTGTACACACTTGCACTATTTGTGTACATGCACACATGAGCATACACACAAACTAGACTGAGAACTGAGGGTATAAACAGTGGTAGAATGCTTGCCTAGGACTTATCAGGACCTGGGTTGGATACCCTAAACTGTAAAAAGATGGCTGAGATCAAATAACATGAAGATGAGAAACATAATAAAACAGCAGCTAGAGAAGGAAATTGTTGACCAACAAAGAAATAGGGGGAGAAAAAAGTGTGGTGTCAGGGAAGCCAACCAACCAGAGAGGGCATGGCAGTGAGAGGCTGAAATCCCAGCACTGGAGAGGCTGAGGCTGGAGGACCACATTCAAGGCCAGACAGAACTACACAATGAGACTGTCCCCAAAACATTCCACATGTCCACCAATGCTAAGAGGTCAAGTAACAAGCTAGCAATTTTTTAGTGAACATGACACAAGATGTTGCTAAAGCAAAATTTTAAAATCCACAGTAAGGGCTAGGAATGTGGCTTAGTAGTAGGATGCCTGCCTAGCATGCATGAAGCTCTGGGTTCAATTCCTCACATAAACAGAAAAAGCTGGAAATGGCGCTGTGACTCAAGTGGTGGAGCACTAGACTTGAGCCAAAGCAGCTCAGAAACAGTGCACAGGCTCTGAGTTCAAGCCCCAGGACTGCCCCCTCCCCCTCAAAAAAAATCCAGTAAGGGACCAAACCTAGAATCCAGAGAATGAGGTCAGGCATGATGGGGCCTATCTGTAAACCTAGCACTTGGGAAGATGGGCCAGATGATCACAAGTTCCAAGCCAGCTACACAGCTATTTCATGTCTCAAAAAGAAAAAGTAAAAAAGAAAAGACAGGAGAGTACATGGATATATGATGCAGACTGGTGGTTTTGCTAATGAGAAGGAAAAACTTTCCTTTGGGTTCTTTAGATTGTATGATTTTTCTCAGTGAAGCAAGGAGATGAACTAAGAGCAAGGTGGGAAAGAGATTTTAGAAATGTATGGATAAAAATACGAAGTCATTATGAAATTGGCATAGGGAATGAAGGCCTGGAGGCCTCGACACCAGTGGGTACAAACTGTGAGATGGGGTAGCTGCTGCCCGCTCTGCTCTGACACTAGAGATGGCTGTGTGTCCTCAGGCACTCCCTGCTTTCCAATACTACCAAACCCTCCTGCCAGTCCTCAGAGCCAGTCCTGTTGCAAATGTGCCAGTATCTCTCTTAATATACCAAGAACTTAACACCTCTTTCTAGCTGTAACTAGTACATAAAACAATTATCTACACTGATATGGACATAATATATGTATATTGGATACATGTAATTATTGACAGATGTGGCTAAAATTAAGTTCCAATCCAAAGATACTAAGTTTTCCTCAACCTTTAGTGATGTGTTTTACCTGAGCCTTTTCTAAACCAGGCTAGCTTGCTTAGAGGTGTCCTTCCCCTCCCCCACAGCTCATCCCCTCCTCCCCCTCTCACCCCACCCGGGCAGGCCACCTGCACCTCTTATGTAGCACTACTTGGAGGTATCTGTGGTTCCGGCTTTTGCTTGTGTCTTGACTTTTCAACTGAGAAAAGCTGGCACTTGAAACACTGGCAAACTCACTAGAATCTTTCAGAATACCATGAATTTTTGTAGATAACTTTCTCGATGCTTTTCCTAGGTCTTTCTTCTCGGCAACACTCTTTTGGTTTTTTTGGTTAGTTGTGGGCCTTGAACTCTGGGCCTGAGCGCTGTCCCTCTGCTCTTCAGCTCAAGGCTAGTGCTCTACCACTTGAGCTACAGAGCCACTTCCGGTTTTCTGGTGGTTTACTGGAGATAAGAGTTTCACAGACTTTCCTGCCCTGGCTCGCTTTGAAGCGTGATCCTCAGATCTTAGTCTCCTGAGTAGCTAGGATGACAGGTGTGAGCCACCAGCACCCGTTTTTTGTTTTTTAAATTCTTTGTATGTGTGTGTGTGTGTGTGTGTGTGTGTGTGTGTGTGCTGGTAATAGGGCTTGAACTCAGGGCATGGGCACTATCCACTTTGAGCCACAGCTCCGTATTTCTAGCTTTTTGGTACTTAATTGTAGATAGGAGTCTCATAGAGATTCTTATTAGCCTAGTCTGACTTTTAACTGCAACCTTAGATCTCGGCCTCCAGAGTAGTTAGGATTACAAGTGTGAGCCACTAGTACCCAGTCTCCTTCCTTTGCGTTTATATACTTTTATAATGAACATTCTCATGACACTTCCCATTCTGTATTTGAAATATTCTCATACATACTTGGTGTATCAGCATTTTCTTCTCCAGCAGTGTCTGAAGTTGACAACAACTATAAATAATACAATAAAAGTTAACAGATAAAATCAGAAATTTCAAACAGTGTAAAGAGTAAGCTTAAGTAAATGTACATATATTTTTTTTCTTTTGAGATAAGATCTTGCTATGTATCCCAGACCAGCTGGAACTCTCAATGTAGTCCAAGTTGACCTCAAAATTTTAACTTTCAGCCTCTGCCTGCCAAGTAAGTGTGGGGTTTACAGTTATGTGTCATCACATCTGGCAAAACTGGTCATTTAAATACATGGCTTTCCTTGTTGTATTGTAATGACTACATAGCTTTCCTTAAGCTTTACTTACCCTAAATCAGAATTCAAGTAAGTCTCTCACCTCAGTAAAACAGGAAGATGTACTAATGGTTTCTCCATTTGGAAAGTAACTGAACTGAGTTACTTTCAAATGGTCTCAACTAGCCCAATGCTGGTAGTTCACACCTCTAATACTAGCAATTACTTAAGAGGCAGAGACTGGGAGGACTACAACTGAAGATCAGCCTGGGAAGAGGAAGTCACCAAGCTCTCCTCAACCAAGAGCTGGGCCTGGTAGCACACACCTGGTGTCCTAGCTGTCTCCGCCTACTGATTGTGGGTATTACATGAGTCATCATATACCAAAACTGCAAGAAGCATCACTAATATAGATATAAAATATGTACCTAAATTAGTAAGAACATAGAAATAAGTACCACTTGTAATAATATTTCTATAATATCAGAAATCAACATTATTTTTTTCCCTTTGTTGATGGTACTATGCTTTGAACTGAAGGCCTTGTGCTTGCTAAGTAGGTACTTTACCACTTGAGCCATATCTTCCTTAACTCTTTATTTTGCAGACAAGACTTTTAACATTTTTACCAAGCTGGCCTTAGACCATGAGCCTCAAAATTTTTGCCTCCTACAGAGGTAAGATTAGAGGCATGAGCCACTAAGGTCAGTCTTCAATATTAATTTTTAAAATATATTTACCTGTTCAAGAAGATGAGGATATCTAGCTTGAATCTCATCAACAAACTCCTGACCTTTCATGCATATCAAGAATTCACACCTAAAAGAGGAGAAATACTTTTAAAAATTGTACCATACCAAAATATAACCTGATCATTCAAGAAAATTGGCTTTCATAGCAAAAGCATTTTACCCAACAACCCAGTAGTCCAGATGTGACCCCAGCAAAGAACAAGACCTGATCTCAAAATAACCAGTGCAAAAAAAGCTAGTGTACCTCAGCAGTAGAGCACCAGCTCAGCAAATGCAAACCTCATTACTACAACCTGCCTCCTACCCCTACAAAAAACATACAGTACAGACTTTCAGTTCTAAGTTCTGAGGATCTGATGTACAATATGATGACATGACTCTACACTGTACACCTGAAAGTTGCTGGTAGTAGGTATTATTTTCACCAAAGGAATACAAAGTTTCTATGTGAGATGCTGGCTATTAATCCTGACTCTGGTAAACTTTCAAAACACATTCTTATATCCAACCATCCCTGCACACTTTCAACAGATCTAATTTTGGCAATTATACCTCAAAAAGCTTATTATAAACAGTCATAAAGTTCAAAAGACACACCTGATAAAAGGACTTGTATGCAGAATGTATGAACCCTCAGGACCTAATCTGGTGTTTGGCCTTCCTAGAATCTCAACTCAGGGTCTTATGCTTGATAGGCAGGCACTCTACTACTTTCAGCCTTTTTTGACACTGGCCTCAAACCACAATATTCCCAAATTAACCTCCCAAGATTACAGCTATGAGGCACGATTGCCCAGCAAGACTTCATCTTTTTAAAAAGTATAATTTTTTTCAGTTTCTTAATTTTCATAGGTAAAAAATTTAAACTGACACAAACATACATGATTCTTAAAGTCATTAGGGAAATATCATTATATTACATCAGAATGGCTAAAATAAAAAAGACTGACCATGCCAAGTATTAGTAAAGATATATAACTCCAGTACATCTTAAATATTGTCAGGTAAAATCAAAATGGTAGTCTCTTCAGAAAACAATTTGGTTTCTTCTTTTGTTTTTTTTTCCACATTTTTATTAGCATCAATTATTCACAAAAGCTTCCTTTTACATGTCCATATATGCATATAATCCCCTCCCCCTTCCCAAACCAATCTCAGCAAGCTTCACTGTTCCATTTTCACAGGTGTATATAAAGTATTTTGACCATATTCACCCTCCTTTCCCCTCTCCAATCAATTGAGCAGTTAGAAAGTTAAAATCAACAGGGAGCCATATAACCCATCAATTCCATTCCTAGGCAAAATGAAAACATATCCACCCAGTGTCTACCTATGCTTAAAATAACCCAAATGCCCAAATGTCCATTTAGTAAGTGGGCAAATTGTGATGTAAAATCTAATGAATTACTACTTAGTAATAAAAAAGGTCAAACTACTCATATACAAGCAACACGGATGAATAACAAAAAGCACCATGTTAACTGAAGGAAGTCAGACTCAAGTTGCAAGCTGTGTGATTTGTTCTGTGTACATGACAGGCTGTATGATTTGTTCTGTGTACATGAAAGGCTGTATGATTTATGCTGTGCACATGACAAGCTGTATGACTTATTCTACTTATATGACACCCTGGAAATGGCAAAACTACAGGACAGAGAACAGACCTGGGATAGGAAGGACCTGAGGTCGTAGGACCTGGGGTAGGAGGAGAGAGTGTCTCCCAAGGAGTCTGAGGAAACCTTTTTGGCAATAGAAATGTCCTCTGTCTTAACTGCATCCATGGTTAGGTGACTGTATGCAAGAAAACTTATTAAGTCAACTCTTAGACCTCAAAAAAAACCTTTTCAAAAGAAACTAATGACAAAATCATTCCTTCCCCTTGAACGCAGAATACTATTAGAGGATAAATCTACTGAACTCATACAGAATTTGGTAATGAAGATGCAAGCATCCCGAACATCCAAACTTGTCCCCCAGATGACAGCCTGTCGAACTACAAATTTTTATTGCTGACTGGTTCATACTGTACTAGTTACAGACATGAAATGTCTATGGTACAATGTCTATGCTTTCTAACTGTAAATTTTACTTGACTGGTCCAAATCTATAGTGGATAAAGACACCAGCAACAACGACGCTGGCTGCTCCATATTCCCCTATCTCTAACTCACGGGAGCACAGACTATCAGATCCCTAGTATATTTGATGAGTAAGTGAGCTGGGCTAAAATATAATGATAATGACTATCCAATTACGTTTTTAATTTACTGACATAAAAGCTTACTCGCAAATGATACCTGTGATTTTCAGAGAAGCACTTTTCCCTCAGCTAACCATTTTAAACACAACACAAATTTCAAATATAAAGATTTGTTTTGTTTCTGGAAACTGGTTTTGGTATCATGAATTAAAGTTCAGATTATATGTACATAATTCCATAGAGTCAAGTGAAATTAAGTCATCTTCAATTGTGACACTAAAACATGTCTCTTACAAAATTAATTTTAAGTACATTAAACACGCAATCTTTCAGAGTGAAAAAAAGTCAAAATATATCTTGATATAGTGATGACACAAGAGTATAATTTCTTGCCAGTGGCTTATGCCTCTAAGCCTAGCTAGCTATTCAACTAGGCTGAGCTCTGAGGATCATGGTTCAAACCCAGCCCAGGCAGGAAAATTAGTGAGACTATTACCTCCAATTAACCACAAGAAAACCAGAAGTGGCACTCTAGCTCTAAGTAGTAGAGTGTTAGCCTTGAGTGAAAAAGCTCAGGGACAGTACCCAGGCCCTGAGTTCAAGCAATGTACTGATCCCTAATAAAATTGAAATTTGTCATTGTTTCACAAAAATAAGGGTTTTAAATTTCCTGAAAAGGTTCAAGAGATTCTTTAAGCTGTGAAATGCACTTTCACAATGTACAAAACCATATACTGCATGATTCTACTTAAATCTGACTATAGTCAATTTAGAAACAGAAAGTGGAACTGTGGTTGCCAGAGGATGTATGGGAAAAAGGAGTTTGTGTGTACTATCTACAGAGTTTTGGTTTGAGAAGATGAAAGGTTCTGGAGATGAATGGTAGTGATGAGAATGTAAATGGACTTACTGCTAACAACAACATACACTTAAAAGTGGTTAAAATAGTCAATTTTATGCTATATTTTATGACAGTAACTAAAATCAGTTAATCCAGCCCCTTCATTTTACAAATAAAGCCCAAGTTCTCAAAGCTAACTCAATTACAAATTCAGAACTAATTTATAATTCTAACAACGGAGCACCCAAATTCTTGCTAGGCTATAATGAAGATATTATTAAGTGGCTGGAGATGCAGCTCAGTGTTCAAAGTGCATGCCTAGTATACAAAAAGCCCTAGGGGGACTGGGAAGGTGGCTCAGTGGTAGAGCGCTTGCCTTGCATGCCCTGGGTTCAATACCTCAGCACCACATAAGCAAAAAGAAAAAAGCCGGAAGTGGTACTGTGGCTCAAGTGGTAGAGCGCTAGACTTGAGCTGAAGAGCCTGAGAGACAGCACCCAGGCCCAGAGTTCAGGCCCCACAACTGGACCCCCCACCAAAAAAAAAACACCCTAGGTTCAACTCCAAGTATGGCAAAATAAGCAGGGGACACATTGGCTAAACAGAAGGCATGCGATAGACCCATCATAAGAAAAAAACTGTACTGGGCTGGACATGGCTTTTCATACCTGTAATTCCAGCTCTGAGGAGGCTGAGAAAGGAGGATAAAACTACAAGGTCTACCCAGCTATACATGGAGACTTCCAAAAAACTAGTTAGTCATCATAACCATGTAAGCACAGTTCTACTTCTAAGCCTACAGTTTTTTGTAGGAATACTTTTCAAAACAATTACTCTGATGGGAGTTGGGAGTGTAGCTCAGTGGCAGTGTATGTCTAACAGGTGCAATGTCTTGAGTTCAAACCTCAGCACTGCCAAAAAGTAAAACAAAATAAAATCTTAAATTACCTTGGAAACCATTTGGCATGTTCTACCCATGGATCATCTCCAGATTCCCAACACCTCAAGCCACCATCACAACAAAAGCATTTGACATCGTCATTGCGATCTAAGGAGAGGAAAAAGGCCAAAAATTGGCTATCTGTATGTCCTAATACGAGACAAACACAGTACAATGTACAACTACTCATTTCTCACCCACGTAGTAGAAGCCAGCACTTGCAAGCCGCTCAGGCTGAACTGCAACAGTAGGTGGCCAGTACATAAATGTTCGCATTCGAGCTGCATGTGTCTGCATGCTCAGATTTGAAATACTAAATCTCAGTGTTTCTAGAGAATTTTCCAAAAATGGACAGTGGGGAAAATGTCTCCGATGTTCTGACATAGCATCATCCTTTGGTTCCCAGTTACTCAGCTTTCCACCACAGGCAAAACAGGCTACCCTGTCTCCAGGTCCTATATAGTAGAAGCCAGCTCTTGCCAATTCTAATGGTGACAAAAAGCTCAAGGGCCACCCATTGTAAGTAAGAACTCTGGCTTCTTCAGTGCTCATTGCATAACTGTAGAAGTTTGTCCTCAGTGGAGAGAGGTCTTCCACTGCTCTAGAGTGAAGAGGGTTTGGCGGAAGGCTAGAGTAAGAACCACTGAATAAGCTGCTGTGTTCCAGAGGAGGGGACAAGGAATGTGCAGAGGCACTTCTCACTGGAGAGGTGTTCTTAGAGGTGGACTGCAGAGTAGCTGAAGTTAGGCTCTGAGCAAAGCTGCAGCTGGGGTACAGCTGTTTGTGCTTTCCCGCAGGGCTGTCGCCTCGCTTCCAGTTGTCCAGCATCAGGCCACAGCAGAAGCACTTGACCTTGTCCTTCACCCCAGTGTAATAGAAGCCAGCCCGGGCAAGACTCCTTTCTGAGACAGGAACCCCGGTGGGGAAAGTCGAGTATGTGGACATGCGGTACAGTTCACAGGAAAAGTCATACTTCATTTTCTGTTTGTCTTCTGTCCAATTTGACAAGAAGGTTCTATCTTCCATTATACACCTAGCTGATATTAAGCAACTCTGGGAGGTAGTTTTGTGCATGAATAGGTAACAATACTTTTAGATATCTAAATACTTATATGTCCAGTTTCTTATCACTTCCCACTAAAGTGGATTCTAATCACTAAAAAGAATGATAAACTCCTATTTATATATAATTCCTATTTAGTTGAATCTCTCTTAAGTGACCAAGATACTAGTTAGTACTCTATGGGATTATATTAAGTCTTTTACTCATAAGCTGATCAAATACACCTAAAGAACCGAAGTTTATGATTTTCTGAAAGCATTAAATTTCTTTCAAAAAGGTTCACATTCTCAAAATTTTAAGAAACTATTAAACATCTACAATATGCCTTTAATTTGCTTTTGATGACAAGCAATGAAGCCTGTGTATGGAGCCAAGTACTGATCATGCCACAAGTTAGCATGCAGGCTTCTGACCCTGATAAGCACTTTAGCAGGACATCCAAAACATCCTCATTTTATTCTAACACAAGTAATTAGTCTCCTACAGTTAACATTACCTAAAATTTCATATAGTTAACTATTACAATACTAAAAGTGGGTCAAATTAGTTCCAGTCAACTTTTGGAGAAGGCAGCATCTGAAGCTTTATTGAGTCTAAGCCTGGTATAGTATATATGACAAATGAATTTTGCTGAAAGCTCACAAACTTACTCTTCTTAGTTAAATATTGTATACTTCACTTCTAACCCTACCACTTTATTATACCTGGCCAATGGACAGCATTTTCCCCATAAACTTGTTATCCATAAAATTTCACAACATACACTTTATACTACATGAAAAAAATTAACCTGCTCTTCATGTAAGGGCCATTCTGTTATGAGTTATGTATAAGGATGAATCAATTTATCTAGAGAGTTAGCTTTTGTTATTGTAAATGCCTAACAAAATATTAAAGGAACTGATTATATCGAATGGAGCCTTCTTTCTGAAAATGCTCCAAAACACTTCAAATATAATTCATACACAAAATTACACTCCATAGAATTCACACCACGTCCCTTTATAAAGTTTTAAGGTTTCCACAATGGAGTTTATCTCTGCAGGGGGTGAAAAAAGCAAGGAAAGATTCTCCAGGGCTGTAAATCTGAAAAGGAAAAAAAAAGTAGTTTAGAAAAGTGTGCTTATGTGTCAAATACAACTTACAGACTCTTCAACTTCTTCAGTAAAGTCTAAGAATGATTTACTCTTTTGATAATAGAGTTTAATTCCAGCCATTGATCACCCTTAGTTTCTGGTTGGGAAAACAGCTGAACGCACGCGATACACGCATCACAGCAAAAACTGTCTTACAATGTGCCACTTTAAAAAAAAAAAAAAAAAGGAATTAGCCCAGGGCCCTTCCCTTTCCGAGGTAAAGACCGCTCCAGCACTTTGCTGAGCTCTAGGGGACCTGGGCGAGGGCGACCCACTGGGTCCACCGCAAGGGGAAGACACCAGAGTTCCTTTTGAACAGCCAGCCGCTCGGGGGCCGGTGCCTTTAACAAGAGGAGCCATTAGCCACATAAGCCCATAAAGCCTTCCTCGGCGATTCCAAAGCAAACCAAAAATTAGAGCCGAGGCTGGGCCTGGCGGGGCCTGGGCAGCAGCCTCCGCGCCCCCACGCCCAGGCCCGCTCCCCGGGCCACCTACGGCAGGCGCCGGGCAAGCCGGGAAGCACCGGGGGTTTACCCGCGGGCCCCGGCGGCGCAGCCGGGCGGGGGAACCAGAGACTCGGCCGCCCGCCCAGCTCCGGACCCGGCCAAAACCGGGAGGAAACCCTGGCGTCAAGGCCGCAACCAAACCGTCGGGAAACCCCGTTCCTCGTCACCGCCGCGCCGGACGCGGGGCCTCGGGGTGAAACCGAAGCCCACCGCGGCCAGCTCCCCGCACACGAGCCCGCCCGCCCCGGAGGCCCGGAGACCCCGCCACCGCGGGACCCCCGCCCGCCCCGGAGGCCCGGAGACCCCGCCACCGCGGGACACCCGCCCGCCCCGGAGGCCCGGAGACCCCGCCACCGCGGGGACCCCCCCCCCCCGGACCCCCGCCCGCCCCGGAGGCCCCGCCACCGCGAGACCCCCGCCCGCCCCGGAGGCCCCGCCACCGCGGGACCCCCGCCCGCCCCGGAGGCCCCGCCACCGCGGGGACCCCCCCCCCCCCCGGGACCCCCGCCCGCCCCGGAGGCCCCGCCACCGCGAGACCCCCGCCCGCCCCGGAGGCCCCGCCACCGCGAGACCCCCGCCCGCCCCGGAGGCCCCGCCACCGCGAAACCCCCGCCCGCCCCGGAGGCCCCGCCACCGCGGGACCCCCCCCCCCCCGGGACCCCCGCCCGCCCCGGAGGCCCGCCACCGCGGGACCCCCCCCCCCGGGACCCCCGCCCGCCCCGGAGGCCCCGCCACCGCGGGACCCCACCCGGGACCCCCGCCCGCCCCGGAGGCCCCGCCACCCCGGGACCCCCCCCCCCCCGGGACCCCCGCCCGCCCCAGAGGCCCCGCCCGCCCCGGAGGCCCCGCCACCCCGGGACCCCCGCCCGCCCCGGAGGCCCCGCCACCCCGGGACCCCCGCCCGCCCCGGAGGCCCCGCCACCCCGGGACCCCCGCCCGCCCCGGAGGCCCCGCCACCGCGGGACCCCCGCCCGCCCCGGAGGCCTCGCCGCCCCAGAACCCCCACCCCGGAGGCCCGGAAGCGTCGCCGTCCGTCCCGGAGGCCTCGGAGGCGGGCTCGCCGGAGCCCCCGTCCGCCCCGGAGGCCTCCTCTCACCACGAAGCGGCGGCGCCCACCGAGAGGCGCCCGCGCTCACAGCCGCTCAGCTCCCGCGACCCCCAGAGCTGCCCAGCTGGACCGTTGCCGGCGCGCCGTGACGTCAGCGCGCCCGGCCGCCGCGCGAGGGCTCTCGGGAGTCCAGAAGTGGCGCATCCGGGGCTACGCCCATGGGAGGGGAAGCCGCGCGGCCGCCGGCGGCGCCAGGCCGCGGTCCCCGGCCCTTGTGGCCAGCACGCCCCGCGGGACGCGGCTGGAGAGCACGGCGGGCCCGTCCCTGGCCGGAGCTCGGTCGCCTGCCCCGGCGCGGCCCACGGAGGACGAGGCTGGCGGCCGCCCCCTCCCGGCGGCGCTGCGGACCCGGCCTGCGGCGGCCGACGACGTCTCCAGCGGCCGCCGGCGGCGCTGGTTCTCTTCAGGGCGGCCTGGAGCTCGGGACCCCGCCCCGGAGCCGCGGTCCCAGGCCCGCACCCCACGCCCTCCTCCGCGGGACCGACCCGCCCGCCGGGGAACCCCGGGGCCCAGCGTGGCCCCGGCGGCCGGGGGAACTCCGCGCCCGGCCGCTCCCGCCCCCGTCCTTTCGGCCCGGCCCGCGGGTCGGGGCTCCGGCCCAGCGTGAGTAGTGGAGCCGCCCGTCAGAGAAGCGGCGCCGGGGGTCCCGGTGAGGGGAGTAGCCCCCCGCGGGGAGGACGCGGGCCCGGCGGGGGAGGGGAGGGGAGGGGGCCCCCGCGGGGAGGACGCGGGCCCGGCGGGGGAGGGGAGGGGAGGGGGCCCCCGCGGGGAGGACGCGGGCCCGGCGGGGGAGGGGAGGGGAGTAGCCCCCCGCGGGGAGGACGCGGGCCCGGCGGGGGAGGGGAGTAGACCCCCGCGGGGAGGACGCGGGCCCGGCGGGGGAGGGGAGTAGCCCCCCGCGGGGAGGACGCGAGGACGGGGGAGGGGGAGGGGAGTAGACCCCCGAGGGGAGGACGCGGGCCCGGCGGGGGAGGGGAGGGGAGTAGACCCTCGCGGGGAGGACGCGGGCCCGGCGGGGGAGGGGAGTAGACCCCCGCGGGGAGGACGCGGGCCCGGCGGGGGAGGGGAGTAGACCCCCGCGGGGAGGACGCGAGGACGGGGGCGGCCTTGGCCCGGAAAGGACCCGCGGAGCCGGGTGGGCGAGGATCGCTCATCCCGAGCCCAGTCCCTTCCCTCCCTCGACTCTGGCGCTGACATAAAGCAGACTGGGCTTGGTTGAGCGGCTTCGCCCTTCAGAACCCCCCGAGCCAGTGCCCCGCGAAAGGCTGCGCAATATCCAGACATAGCCGTTTGCAGCCTTGGCAGTCTTCTGTGGCACATCTTCACGTCTGTCCGTCCACTCAGTTTTGTTTTTTACACTACAAACATGGAGTACTCCGTTATTAAAGCCCTGGGGCTGTCCCTCGGGGCCTGGGCTCTGTCCCTGAACCTCTTTGTGCTCCAGGCTTGTGCTCTACCACTTGAGCCACTGGACCATTTCTGAGTACTTTATTGGAGATTAGAGTCTCGCAGACTTTCTTGCCCGGGCTGGCTTCAAACCGCGACCCTCAGATCTCAGCCTCCTGAGTAGCTAGGATGACAGGCGTGAGCCACTGGCGCCTGGCTATTTGTCGATTTTTTTTTTTAATTTGCTTTGTACATCTGCAGGGGTTACCACTTTAACATCTTTTATATTCAAGAAAAAAAGAAGAAAAGAGAAAACAGGGCTGAAAAGACTTACCTGGTAATTTATACAACAAAACCCTAGGATTGGAGACAGTGCTGTAATGAAGTTACGGGCATATGTCTTATTTTAGGATATGTTTCCAGACGTTGGATTGTTTATTCAATGGGAATGTCGGCATTTGTAATCCAACCAAATTATGAATGTTCTTTTGCCTCATAACTTCACCAAAGTGTGTTGTCACCTTTTGGATTATTGCCAGTCTAAGGCAAGGCATGCTATTTCAGTGAACTTTTTATCTCATTCCACTATGAAACTGAAAATCTTTTGTCTTCTGCATGAACTATATAGTAGTGTTTTATTTATTTTTAAAAATTTGGCAAACAACATTGGGGTTGGTTGTATGGTATTATTAAAGAAAAATATCCTGACACTTGTGAAAGTGCTAACAAGGACTTTACTCAAGACTACAGCAAGAAGAGCACTGTAACAGAAGAGCATTAACAGAGGAGAGAACTCAATCTCTCAAACTAGAGGTTTATTCCCAGCAGAGAGAGGCCTGGTGGGTGAGAAAGGCCTGGAAGAAGAGCAGTAGGATTTTGCAGAAGGTTTACACCTCTGAAGCAGAGAACGAGGAACTTGAACAGATATCAGGTGTGTTCAGATACCAATCCAGGGGAGGAGTCTTACTAAACTGACTTAGGGTTTTTGCTAAAACAGCTAAGTAGATTAAAGGGGGTGGAGTAGGAGGATGACTACTCAAGCCATGCTCTTTGCATGCTATAGGCAGCTTTCAGTCTGATCTTTCTTGGATCAGCCTGAAAATACCTGACCTCAAGAAAAGAGCCTGGGCCAGGCGCTGGTGGCTCACGCTTGTAATCCTAGCTATTCAGGAGGCTGAGATCTGAGGATCCCAGTTCAAAGTCAGCCCAGGCAGGAACATCTGTGAGACTCATTTCCAATTAACCACCAGAAAACTGGAAGTGGCTCCGTGGCCCAAGTGGTAGAGTACTATCCTTGAGCTGAGGAGCTCAGGGACAAGTGCCCAGGCCCAGAGTTCAAGCCCCACAACTGACAAAAAGAGAAAAAAAAAGCCTGGAAATGGAGAAAAGATCATGAGCCATTTAAGCCAGAGCCTCCACTTTCATCTCTGTGCTGTTGTGTCTCTTCACTGCAGTAGTTCTCAAGTAAGGTGCTATACAATGACTGCTCAGTAAATGTCTGTTATTATTCTTAAGATGCTATGCCCACATTGAGCTTTTCCTACGCTCTCCCAAGATAAAATGCCATCCAGAAAACAGTTCCAAGTCCTGCTTCCTACGTGATTCTTGTAAATAAATTCATCTTTCAAAACATGGCTTTCAATATCTGAAGGAGTATAGAATTTGACCTAGGATTCTCTACTTTATCAATGTCTTAGAACTTAATCAATAGTAACATTTAAAGAGGAAGAAATCTCCCAGCTCAGCCTGTTAGCAGAAGAAACATTCTCATCCCAAGGAATTAGTTACTGCGCCTCCGAACAGAGAGATGGACTCTGCTCAGTTGCCTGGTCCATAATCTTTCAGAACACTTACAGGGTCTGGTTTGTGTTGGCCTGACTTCCCATCACGTTCTCTTCCTCGTATTTCTGGCCAGAGCCCTGTTACCTCTATAGGAAACGAAGAATAGGGTTGGATATGTTAAAGCACAAAACAGAAATGCAGATATCTGATAATACAGAATAGGCCTCTATAGAATGAGCTCTTGGTCCCCAGGGCTGTTAAGGAGCAAAGTTTTGTCACCGAACTAAGCTAAAGTGCTGTAATTAAAACTAGGGGCTTCTCTCTCGATGGGAGAGGCTGGTATAGTACTTCCTGAATACTTCCACAGACCAAAGATGCATTCATTGGGGCTAGGAAGTTGGCTCAGTGGTAGAGCGCTTGCCTTGCATGCCTGAGGCCCTGGGTTCGATTCCTCAGCACCACATAAGAAAAAAGAAAAAAAAGCCGGAAGTGGCGCTGTGGCTCAAGTGGTAGAGCGCTAGCCTTGAGCTGAAGAGCTGAGGGACAGTGCCCAGGCCCAGAGTTCCGGACCCAAAAAAAAAGAAAAACAAAGATGATGCATTCATTTGTCTGAATAAATTTACAGAGGGGCATGGCTGAACAGGTTATAATTGCTCACAGCAGAACCCCTCAGGTCTTATTGGAACCTCTGGGCCCAGGGTGGCGTCTCTGAAGTGTCTGTAACTGAAGGAGTCTGAGATTACAGGCATGCACAACCATATTTAGCCTCTTAACAAAATTCCTAACAAAAATTCCATAACTAATTCAACAGCACCAAGTGAAAATGGTTTTTTTTTTTTTTTTTTGGCAGGGGGAGGGCGGGGACAGAACCCATACTATTTCATATCTGGCCAAAGGTACAAACTCAGACTTTATTACACATAACTGAAATTTCTTCTTGAAGGGAACCTACCCCAACCCTTCCCGCTCCCAGCCCAGGAAAGTTACTCCTGTGGTATTTTCAGCTTGGCCCAAACCGCACTAAGTCATGTCCATGTGGGGCACACAGCAAATGCAAGACAGACGCCTCAGTGCGGGGATAGATGTGGCCCTGCAGCAGCAAACTAACAAACTGCAGTTTCTATGCATTGTGATGTCCACGACATGGGACTCCTGGAGGGCACCAGCCATCCCAGCTGCTCAGGAGGCTGAGATTTGAGGACTATGGTTCAAAGCCACATCAAAAGGAGTCTCACTGGAAAGTCTGTAAGGCTTTTATCTCCAATTAACCACCAAAAAGCCAGACATGGAGCTGTGACTCAAGTGGTGGAGTGGCAGCCTTGAGCTAAAAAGGCCAGGAACCTGTGTTCTAGCCCTAGGACTGGCAAACATACACACAAGAGATACCCCTTTGAGCCCATCTTGATTCATTACTATTCTGGCTGTTATATTGACCTCTGCAGCCCACTCCTAGGCCTTAGAGTCTCAGACTTTCCTGCCCTGCATGGCTTTGAACCTGGATCCTCAGATCTTAGCCTCCTGAGTAGCTAGGATTACAGGTGTGAGCCACCACCTGTGCCTGGATTTTTCTTTCCTTTTGTTAACATTAGCTACAAAGATAACAAAACTCAAAATGTCTGGATACTTTGAAGCCAGGTTAGAGTGTAATTTCATTGTCTGAATCCACTTACAAGAGGTCAAGCTGTTGGGGGAAGTGTGAAACCTTCTTTTTTTGTGGGGGGGGGGGGGTCCGGTCGTGGGGCCTGAACTCTGGGCCTGGGAGCTGTCCCTCAGCTCTTCAGCTCAAGGCTAGCGCTCTACCACTTAAGCCACAACACCTCTTCCGGCCTTTTTCTTTTTGCTTATGTGGTGCTGACGATTGAACCCAGGGCCTCATGCATGCAAGACAAGCGCTCTACCACTGAGCCACCTTCCCAGCCCCTGAAACATTCTTTTAAAAATGTTAACTTTCCTCTCAATGCCTCCAATTCCTAAACCCCTACTTCAACTGTGCCTGTAGCCCATGATTTCCTGTAGAGCTCCAGTTCTGCATAAAACTATGATCCTATGTTTAGACCCAATTCTACTGAGTCAGCTTTGACTGACTCAGTAGCTCCAGCCACAAGAACAGAAAACACTGCACATTTAGCAACAAGACAAAGAAACTATAGCCTCATTATGGCTAGAAAGTACTGAAGCATTATCCCCTGTGCTTTGCCACATCCCCTGTGGTACATGCCACCACAGATCTGTCTGTCTGTTACAGTAAGACCGTTCAAACAGCTTCATGAGACTGGGTGTTGTGGTATACACCTGTAATCCCAGCACCCAGGAGGCTAAGGCAGGAGGATCACGCATTTGAGGCCAGTCTAGGCTACTTAGTCTTAGTCCATGCAGCTCAGTGACAAATACCTGAGAGAAGGAATTTAAGCAGAGGAGAGGCTGGGCTCACAGTTGGGCTGCTGCAGTCCATGTCCAGCAGGTGCCAGTGCTCTCAGGCCTGTGATGAATCAGAGCATCATGGTAGGCAGGAAGTGGGACCAGCGAGGGCCAGGAGGAAGGGGCTGGGGACTGGAGGTCTTCCTCTGGTGAGGCCTCACCCCTTCGAGTTCCTACCAATTCCTGAAACAATGTCAGAAGCTAAGAACCATGACTTCCACACAGGAGCCTGAAGAGGACCTTCTGCTCAAGGACAACTACACAATAGCCACTATACCACAACAACTCTGCCGCCACTGTAAGGCGCGGGCTCCTAGCCCCCATTTTCTTGGCCTGAAAATGTGAGGAGTTGAAATACAAGAAAATATCTAAGATTACATCCAATAAAAAAACAAAAACAAAAAACGCTGTTTTGTGGGGCTGCCACAAGGGGACGACTTTGAGGTCCAGCCTGCCTCAGCGCCAGGATGCCCCTAGAACCAAGTAAACACTGCCATCTCGTGGCAGCGTCTCTGAGCTTCACCCATGTGGTATTTACATGTGGGTGTCGGTGCACACCCATCTAGCTAGTCTCTCTATATACATACATATATATTGGTTGGACTATGGGGCTTGATCTCAGGCACTGTGCCTGAGATCCTCTTTTCAAGGCTCCTGTGATTATCGGTGCCCTGCTGGCTATTACCCTATCATTCTACCA